AAAAAATCTAGAGTATTTATTAAAAAATGGAATAATTTCCTCTTATTGTTTTACGATTATAGAGTAATAGAGAGCATTTGCGCGTTAATTATTATGCAAAAAGTAATTGGTAAAATTTTGTTTTGCATGAAAGAAATATCGGAAAAAAAAATTTTTTTTATGGAATATTTAAAATTTAATTTTTGCGAAACAAGAAGTCAGTGTATGCATGGATTGCAGGCGTTTGGATTATAATTTAATTTTCCTAGTTATTATTCCACAGCAATAAATTTCTTATAAAGGATACTTGTTTTGTTAACTAAAAATGCGATTATTCAAGGAATATTTTTCCAAAATATTATTATTATTATATGCATCGTGTAGGTATAAAATTATTTATATTGGTATATAATAATATTAATTTGTATAAATCAATGGTCGGAAAAAAAATTATTCGTGCGCAAAATTTCAAAATTTAGTCTGCTTGATTAGATCTACTTATTGTATTTATTTTTAAACCGGTTAATTGTATTTAAGGTAAAATTTCATTCATTCGTCCTTTCCTTTGACGCCCAACCTCTTTCAAAAAATTCTACATAAAATTATATTAACAAATATTATTACCTTGAATATTATTAAATATATGAAAAGACTTACAACGTTTGATTTCGGGATAGAAATTTTGGATAGAAATTTATCTATAAATAGCTATCTATACTTTAGGTATTGATACATTCCAGGTAATTGAAATAGAAATTTATGGTAGGCGTTTAGTAATCTCCACTTTGACGATTTTTGAATTGGCATTGGTGCAAATTTTTTTTATTCGCCTTGACAAAGACCTTGCTCTAATATGACCATCATATTGACATTGCCATTCGAAAGAACCCCGGGAACAACATATGTGAGTTACCCCTTTCTGGTAATCAATATCTAAAAAATTGAAAGGTTACATGGAATTTTAGGTAAATTAATTAGAACTTTCCTATATATTCATTAAAGATCCTGTAACACATTGTAATCTTTCATAGCTTCGATAAAAAAGGTTAATGCGCGCGTTTATCATTTGCCTCTTTTATATTAATTATAATATAAAAGTAGATAAAAAACACAGCTACGTTTTAAATATATACATTAATCATTCATTAATGCGTAAATTTAGGCGTTGAGTTGAAAACAAGGATCTAATATTAAAACTTAAAATTTAATTTGTGAAAGAGATAATTTTTAATAGTAATCATTGGGTGCATATCTAATCTTTTTATCATAAAAAATTCAAAGGTTTCATTTTGTTTTTGCTGTTATAAAATCATATAGCACTTACTGTATATTTTCAATAAAACAATGAAATATTACAAATAAATCTTTATCTTTAAACTGTAAAGGCTTTCTCTCTTTAATTGATTTGTTATTTTTTTTTTAGAAATTCCACTGGTATTTTTTATTATCAAAAAAAAATTTTTCTTTAATTTTTTTGTGCTATTGCAAAATTCTATAATAAAAAAATTTATTTACAGAAGTGCACGAGGAAAATTCAAAAATTTATCCATACACATTAATATTAATATATTTAAGTGCATAAGCTACCAAAATTTCATTTAGTAAAATTAATTTTTATTTTGAATTACTATTTTTAATATTAATAACTAAACCAAAATTATTTCCAAGGTAATACACAGTATTGCAGTATTGATGCTACTGCTCATTATAATTATGATTGAGCCAAAACGTTCATGCACCACATTCAGATCAACATGTAAGTAAAATCTATTATCTAGTCCACTTATTTGGTATTCAAGATGAAGCAGGCCAACTATGTTCTTGATGAAGATGAAATTATAGGAAAAGGTCTTTGTGGCACTCTTTGATGGAATTAAAAAATTGAACAAAGGTGAAGATTACCTGTGATAATGCTGGTGGATAAAAAAAAAAATTTGTGGCTATTATGAAAGTGTTGAATTCAAATGTGATGGTAGTTTTGGCTTGATTAAAAAATTCTACTGAAGAACAAATGTAGATTGTGTAGATGCTGGTGGATAAAAAAAAAAATTTGTGGCTATTATGAAAGTGTTGAATTCAAATGTGATGGTAGTTTTGGCTTGATTAAAAAATTCTACTGAAGAACAAATGTAGATTGTGTAGATCATGTGGTTGATGTGATGAAGAGGTCTAGTCAGCAGGATTAAACAAAACTCAATGTTATGAAGCCGGGAAAGCTTTCAATACTTGGACATCAAAATTATGAATATCATTGCTTTAAATGTGACATTTACAAATTTTTTACACATTAATAAGTTTTTTAAATGGGTTATTATTAGCATTGCTATTTATTTTTCATGTAGTCAAAGTGATTGTTATACATAAATGCGTCGAGAATCAATTCCAAAAGTAAAATTTACAAGTAAGGCTGAAAAATTAAGAAAGATTATAGATAAATAAGTTTTTATTTTTTATATAATATTTAAAAAGAGAAATAACTATGATGCTTATGTCTATCAGTTAGTTAATAACTAATACTACTGATTACTAGTTTGACGGAATCCAACTCCAAAAATAAACGAATCGACATCAAATTCGTCCTCATTACGTTCGTTAACTCGATTTGGACGATTTTGATTTTGAGCGGTTGTAACAGCAGCTGTACCAACAACTTCGCTATAATATTCACTATAAGAATCTCTATTTGCTTTATTTGCGCTATTTGCTTGATCAATAAGCTTGTTAAAACGATCACAATAGATTTTAGCTTTTAGCAATTCACTCTCAGAAGCGCTTCTAACCAAATCATCAACAACAAAGCAAAGTACTTTGCTCGGAACACCTTCAAATTCGCTTTCTTTCAGAAGATACTCTCCAAAGTTTAACAGATATTGAACAGGTGTTTTTATATGTTTATAAGGTTCTTGGGGATCGTTACGGTTATCATGATTACATAAAATTTGATAATAAAAATACGTATCCTCAATCTTTTCTTCCGTGAGAGGAAACATTTTTGACTTCAACCATTTCCCAAGATCTCGTCTTATATTATCTGTATTATCTGACATTTTAGATTTTTAAAAAAAGAATTAAATCGTATATAAAAAAAATTTTCAGAAAGTTTATTAAAAAAGATAGTAATTAAATATAAACGTTAATACGAATTGACGTAGAGATAAAAAAAAGGGAAAGGTCAAGAGTATTTATTAAAAAAATGAAATAATTTTTCCTCTCTTGT